TGCTAATGTTGGGATTGCCTCCCCAAAACCCCTTGTGATAAGATATCAATAATTTTATAAACTCTGATTAATATCATAATTATACGATAATCATTCTAAATTTAAAACAATGAGACCAGATAAAAGTTTTAGAATTTATCCTAGACCAGATCAAGATTACAAAAAGAAGGATTCCCTAGATATACAAAAGGTTACAGGCAAATTATATGGGAAAAGACCAACTGGAAACAAGGTCTAAGCTTATCTTTGGATATTGTGCTTTATTATTGGAGTAGTAATGGGATCTATAGCTTTCATCATGGATATTATTGTTGTTGAATTAGTTGATTTAAAATGGTAATCCACTTAGGATATAGCAAGGACTAATGTAGGGTTGGGATGGTTCGTACTAATCTTATATAGCTTATGCTTTGTATTTATTGCAGCTGTGATTTCTGTATATATTGCTCCAGCAGCTATTGGCTCTGGAGTAGCTGAAGCAATGGGACTACTGAATGGAATTGCTTAATAAGATTACATTTGTTTGAAAACTCTTGTTGTGAAAACCTTAGGTGTTTCACTTGCAGTAGCAGGTGGACTCTGTGGTGGTAAAGAGGGTCCATTAGTGCACATTGGATCAATAGTAGGATATGCAAGTGCATATATTCCTATGAAATTTACAAGATATTTTAGAAATGACTTTGAAAAGAGAAAACTAATGGCTGTAGGGACAGCGGCTGGAGTTAGTGCTGCCTTTGGAGCCCCTATTGGTGGATCCCTTTTTGCTTACGAAATATCAAAGCCTAGCACGTTTTGGTCTTTCTCTCTAACATGGAAAACATTCTTTGCATCTACAATAAGTACTTTTGTGCTTAGTGTTTTTAAGCAACTTTATGATGGTAAATTCCCTATCTATGTATCAAGTTCAGATATTGTAAAACTAGGAGCATCATAAAAACCAGTAACACTAGATAGTTTGTTCGCAGCAGTGATAATAGGAATATCAGGGGGTTTTTTAGGAGCATGCTTTATTAGAATAAACAATCAAATCAACAAGTACAGAAAATAATATCTCAAAGAAAAATGGATGAAGGTAGCTGAGGCATTATGTCTAACATTAGTAACAATGACTACATTTTATATAGCAATGTACATTAAATATGCTTCAGATGATGACCCTAATAATGATACAGAAATATGCTAGAAATTAAAGCCAGAAGTACCATCAAGAGAATTTCTATGTCCTGAAGGTACCTTTGATAGATTAGCAACTATATTATTTGATACTCAATCAAATACAATAAAAACCTTCATGTCTGACAGACGTGAAATTCTTTGGTAAAATGCCTTGATATTCGGAATTATATGGTATATTTTTCTTTGTTTAACATCAGGAGTGGCTGCACCTCTTGGTATTTTTATTCCCTGTATACTTATTGGTTGCAGTCTTGGTCATCTTTACTTCAAAATTCACTACATGATTTTTTCCGCTTCTGATTCAGAGTTAATAAGGCCGTCGACTTTTGCTATATTGGGATCAACTGCTGTGTTAGCAGGTTCAACGAGAATGACTTATTCATTAGCTGTTATAATGCTTGAAACTACATCAAGTGTAGATATTTTTTTGCCAATCATCTTTACTTTATTTGTGTCATATGGCTCAGGAACTCTTTTAATTAATAAATCCATTTATCGTAGTGCTCTTAGAAGCAAGAATATACCACTACTACTAAAAGATATTCCAAAGGAAAATGGGCATTATTAGGCTTAGTAGTTGATGTCAAGTCCAGTGAGAGCTTTTAACTTCATAGTAAAAGTATAGGATGTTTTGTTTTAACTCTCAACAACCACTATAAATGGATTTCCTGTACTTAACTGTCATAGAAGAGTAATTGGAATCATTGAGAGAGATACTCTTATAGTTTTGATTAAAAATAAAGCATGGTATAGTGTTAAAGGGGAAGTTGAAGAAGTGAAAGAGGCAGATGTATAAACTAATGCTAAAAACAAAACATCAACAGAGAGATATGTTAGTACTTAAAGCATTAATAGACTGGATGAAGAATAATTAATTGACATGGTTAGTGATAACACAATTACAAATTAAGAGTAATTGCTGCATAAAGATATGTGGGACAATCTGACTAGAAGGGAGTACTTAGATGACAAAGATTATGTAAAATATCCATTACAAGAAGACAAACTTTAATGGGAAGATCTTAATTAAAACTTCAAGTCTTTAATTAGAGATTACAAGGACATTTTAGATATTGCTAAAGCTAACTTGGAGAGAGAATTAGATTTAAGACCCTACATGATAGATAGACCTTTCACAGTTTGCTCTCAAGACAAATTTTCTAAAGTGCTAAAGATATTCATATAGATGTAGCTTAGACAGCTACCAGTAGTAAGCGAGTCTAATGGGCAAATATTAGGTATAATCACCAGACAAGATTTGTTCTAGTACATGACACTTTGAGTCATTTTATATTGAAATAGCTTTGTCTAATCGAATACATGATATAAACATATTAGCATGATTTTTATTTGAATAAATTATATCCAACTCAATCTTACTCTCAAAAACTCCCCTTGGGGTTTTGGGGTTTTGGGGTTTTGGGGTTTTGGGG